TGGACATGTGACAGCCTTTGTTACCTATCAAGAGCCCACACACTTTCCAGTGTTTAACATTTTGATCGAGGATTGGTTTACGAAACTGCATCGATTGGACAATTTCAAGAGGTGTTATAAGTCCAGCTTGAGATACAATACTGTGTCGACTGAAAAAATTCATTGGAATAAAATTTTTAGACATCCCGATAGGAAAAAAAAGGACCACACCAAAAAAAAGCATGGAATATTTACTCGAAAATGTGTTTATCGCAAAATCAAAATTTACCTTTGGATTGAGGCAGATGGAAAAGAATACGCAGCACGTTTATCAAACGACAGAGACACCTATTGCGTGCTACATCTTGCCAAAGCAAGATTCCGAATCAACTAAAACTCGGCGATGTTTTGTTTACAAGGACCTATGGATCCTTGTCTATAGACAATTTTAAATTTTGCGTATTTCTGCAGCATAAAAGGTATGCAGTGCTTCCCTATACTCGCGACCTGATATTGACATAGCAAAAGGCAACTTTTTCAGTGGACAATATTCCTGCCATGGTGGAGGCGTATGATGCTCTGGATTGCGAGACAAATACCAAACGTGAGAAGCAGTGCCGTAACTTCACCCTTCGGGGCCCTGGGGCTCAAATTTTTGCCGGGGCCCTTTTCTAAAACTTTGTGTACTTCATCTCTAATCGTCATTTTAGCTACTTATGTATCATGTTGATTAATATATTTATGAAAATAAGTCACTTGTTCACATAGAAATGGGATTACAAAATATTGCAAGTTGTAAATTTAACACTAGAATGTAAAATGTTATATTTAAAAAAATTAATTTTTAATTACAAAACACAAATAAGACATCTAAAAATAATTACAAAACACATACTAAATACAGATTTTAAATGTATTTAANAACTTTTTTGGAGTAGTGCAAAGAAAATACGTTTTCTTTTCTACTTCGACCCATAGGTGGGAACTGTTAAATCGTGAAACAAAACTCAAATTTACGATAAAAAGTTTAAGCCAGACCAGATGGTCTTGTCACTGTGATACTGCAAAAGCTTTGAAAAATAATTATGATAACATTATGAAAATTTTCGAAAGTTTCAGCGAAAATGAAGATGAGAAAGTTGATTTCCGGAAGGAGGCACGAGCATTTAGTGAATGAGTGATGAACTTACAATGTGATGAGCAAATAAAGGAATTTGCAGTACAAAAATGCAGAAAGGTTGCTTTATAATTCATATAACATAACTACACACAACCTGTCAATTTCTTTTGAAGTAATGTTGCACAGTTGCTGTTTGTATACACAAATAAAAATACAGTTTTTCTAACAAAATGGCTATTAGGGTCTCTAAGTAGTTTCAGCCCAGGGCCCCTTAAATTCACGATCCGCCCATGCTGTGGTGAACCTCAAGGGAGTGAGGAGTCCCAAGTGTTGGATATGCTTCAAATGTTGGAGCAAACAAAAGTGTTGGATATACCTCAAGTGTTGGTTGAATCAAAAGTGTTGGATATGCCTCAAGTGTTGGTTGAATCCCAAGATCCTTAAGACGTGTTTTTTAACGTGGACTTTTCACTCATTGCACCAAAGATGGATCAAAAATGGAACAACATTCAAGACTTTTTAAACAATTTTTCGAAATCTTTGGAGGCGTTGGATTTACGTACAGATGTGAAACACTGCAGCAAAAGACAGTATGCATTTAATCCCGAAACACCATTGGATTTATCAGTAAAAAAAACAAAGGAAACGCGTATTGTAAATATTGTATTATATTGAATGTATTGTAAATTTGAATGTATTGCATTATAATATAAATAAATAAAACCCTCTGGGGTACATATTTTTCAAAGCAGTTTGTCATTCTTTAAAATTTCATTTCTTGTCACATGGCCAATCAGAATGTCACAACACTTTGTGGCCAATCAAGATACCGAGCGTCAAAACACTTCCTCTTTTTTCGCGTATAAAAGGGGATTCAGAGCCATTCCATTTCATATTCACTATGAGCTCTAAATTTTACAGATTCACGTACGACAGTGAGGGTTATCCTCACGCTGAACAATTTGCTGCATTTATTGAAAAATTTTCGAATGCTCTGGACAGAGTGCAATCGCCCGATGTGGTTGGACCTTCTCCTCCATTGCCTTTCACGAGGAGGTATTGCGCGACTGAAGTATGGAATTTTTTATGGAGTAAATTTAACTTGTCTTCAATGGTTCACAAATTGGACATGCCATCAGTTGCCAATGTAATGAGTTGTTGCAGAGGATCAATTGCTTGGTTGTTTTCTAATTCCTTTGGAAAAAATTGGCTCCTGGAGATGACTTTTCAAAAGTGAAAGCGAGAAGGAATTCAAACCTTCATCCATTATAACTGGACTAGAATGAGCCAGGAGGTGATAGAAAACACTTATTCTCTAAGCATGCCAGAAAATTTTTTTAAAGCGTCAAACAATTACAGAATTTGTTTGGACTTGACGTACAGTTCCGCACAATTGACTAGTGGACATTTGTTTCATGAAAATTGCATCAATAGATGCTAGAGGAGAACAATACATGTCCATATTGCAGAGAAATTTTTTAGTCATGTTGGTTTGCCAACCTTGGACAGCTCATGCTGTGGACTTTTGTCCACAGAATTCTTCAAGAGCTTTGAGTCTTTACCCACAGAATGCCCTTATTCTTCAAAAGCTCAAGTATTCCCCTTTGTTTTAGCCAACCTTGAACTGCTCATGCTGGGGATTTTTGTCACAGAATTCTCCTATTCTTTTAAAGCTTTTGTCCGCAGAATGCCCCTACTCTTCAAAAGCTCAAGTCTTCACCTTCGTTTTTAGCCAACCATCACGACTTTATGGATTAATTGACTCAAGGGGACCCAGGCACTCAAGAGGTCCTTGAGAATCTTGCTTTTTATAAATTGCGTTTAAAAAAGCAAAGAATAAAAAACAGCGTCTTATATATTTTTTTAAATAAATAGATTCCATTATATAAAGTGTGAATTTTTTTCTACAAATAGTGAATGATCATGCAAATACCAATAATTTCAATAGTTTGCAACTAGAGAACATAAAAAAGGCTACCGAAATCTATTTTTCTACGTTCCAAAAAAAATTTTAGGTACTTGGGCTTTGAAAGATGTTTTAGTAACTGTTTAGTTTGACAAAATAATTCATACCTTTTGGATTTATTTTAATTTGATATATCGATTTATTGATATATTGATTATTGATAAATCGATATTTGATATATTGATTTGATATACGCTTATTTAATTTAATTTGATTAACTTCCATGACTTTGAAAATTATTTTATTATTTGAGGATTACAACTGGTTAGCATATAAACTTTTTTTCAAATTATTCATAGTTTGAAAATACTTTTTTTGAGTTTTCGGGGTAATCAAAATGTGTTTAAATTTGTTAAAATTATTGCATCATATCTTAAAAATGATTTATTTTATATATGTGAAGCTTTTTAGTTCATTTTTAAACATTATGATATATTATGGATGTCTAAAATATATTTGTGCCATGCGGGCCCTGCATGCTATTAAGGTGACCCTACCCGGTACTCAGCTATTAATTCGAGAGACTGTATGCACAATGGGCTATTGGCGATGGTCTGAGAGACATCTCTGAGAATGAGGCGAAGACATACCATCGAAATTTTTGATTCTCTGCAGAGGTGATCTCATTTCTCAGGCAACTTACTGAATTTAGACATAGATCTGAAGGGGAAGGGGATTTTATTCATACTACAGACGAGTACGCATATCGCATGCGACGAGGTAAAAGGAGTAGTACTTACTAAGATTATGCCAATGATGAGCAAAAACGTAAAAAGTTTCAAATTAAATGAACTTTTCTAAACATTCTCAGTCTATGGATGGTGTTTTCAATATAAATGCAAGCAATAAATGTAACAATCTCAAGCTCAATACCTGCTCCTGTTCCTGTTAGAAAACTTGTATCTGCTTACTACAGCTTATTCTGCGAGGCGATATTTTCAAACGGATAATTTTGTTTTCAATAAAAGAAATAAATTAGATAATTTCTGAGCTCAAATCTGCAGTATTTCATTAGATATTAATGTTATTAAGTAATTCTAGTGAGTTTGAAGTGAAAATTTGTTTTAGTTATTTATAGATACATTGAAAAAGGTGACATGATTGCTAGATTTTGAATAACTCGCTTTTTTGGTAGTCCTTATTTGGCCTCTTTCCAATAGTTTATTACTGTTTGCTCTTGTTGCAAGCTGTGCACCATCTTACGTTAGTGTTAGCATATTGTTTGAGGAGCAAGATTAAGTTTATACATTATGATTCAGGCTTAAATTTGTAAGTTAGCATATATTATTGACAAGGTAAGAAGTGTTTTATAACTTTTTTTTAAATATTAGGTTTACATATTTATTATTTGTCAAACCACATGTTACCACTACTTATCACTACTATTTAATAATTAATGTTAAAATTATATACCCTTTATAATTTTAACATTAATAAAATGATATAAGCGTACTGTTTATCCATTTCTTTTCTTATTATATAGCGACACCTTTATCAGTTATTGCATGTGGTATTGTAAATCACTGTTTAGGCACATTGTATATCCGTAACACAAAGTAATATTTGTTTCATAATAATTATTTTTCTGATATAGATTTCACGTTTTCATTACCTCCCAAACCGCATGCTTACAGTCTTGATCACGTTGTGAAACAACTGGCTTTAAAATACACCGGAAACAGTATCCCGGAAGTGTAGGTGGAATAGATCTTGCAGCGCTCCCTAGTGTAGAAAACACCATCCATATGCGGTGTGACGCGAATGCGAAAATTACAGATGTCTTGTTTTAATGAAAGGCTGTTGCTTGGCTGACCGCCTTTTTAATAAATAGAGGTATTTGATTGGTCGATTACATCATCGTTTTCATCGTTATCTCTTCATCGTTTTGTNAGCCAAGACAGTGCGTTAATGAAAATAAAACCCTTACACTTGTTTCGTCTATTTTGTTTTACTTGTTTTGGCAACAATACTCAACAGTTTGTAAACAAACTTTGTTATTATGTTGTTGTGCTTGCCAATGCACGTGTAGTTCAGTATTAATTGGTGTTTTAATTTAACATTTTATATTTACGATTCAATAATTAATTATGACTACTAAACAGTACTTGCGATTTGAGCCTGGCAACATTTTTGGACTCGTTGCTAGTTCAACTGCTAAAATATTGCCTGTTAATTATAGTAATAAAAATAATCTGTTCGCTGTTCCAGCCTGTGAAAATATATACGTCTGGAATTTACAATCAAAGGAAAAAGTAAAATTAAGAAATGCTTTCATTTCGCCTGTTTTATATTTTAAGCACAGATACATGCATGTTTTTTACAATGTACAATGTTTTTTTTTTAAATGAAAAAATAAAGTTACTTTATATTTTTATTTAAAGAGACATTTGTAGACTAATGTTCTAAAATTATAAAGCATTTAATTTTGAACTATTGAGAAAAATCCACTAATAAAATATTTACCTTGTAACAATTATGTTAACTATTTTAATAATGACTATTTAATCAGACAAATGATACACTAATTATAATAAGCAACACTCCAAATAATTTTTTTTCAGTCTCAAGTATTGGCTGGTGAAAAGAGCAACGTAACTTGTTTTGTTGTTGATAATGGCTGCCGAAATATTACAGTAGGGTATGCTGATGGCAAGATTAAAGTTTTTGACTTAAAAACTGGCAGGTGTGAAGTTTCCTTTCTTGGACACAAATCAGCCGTTTCTTGCTTGACTTATGAAAATAAAGGCTCCAATTTAGCGTCTGGAGGCAAGGTAAATTAACCATAGTTTGTACATTTTTTACTTGAGAAATATGTTACCCATTTATCAAAAGCTGCGCTCTTTTCTTATGTAAATTTTAATTATGCATAGACTTTAGATAATTCATGAAGGGTAAAGGTACAGGTGTATGATTTTTCAGTATGGTGAAATGTGACTAAAATTTGTTCAGAAGTTGGAAAATTCTATGTATCATTGAAGTTTTTATGTATTTTTATTTCGATATCAAGTAAAAATCGATTTTGTGCTTTCATATAATTTATAGACTGTGGGCAAGCACTGTCTTGGAAAAAAAATTGTTTATGTAATAAGGTGCAGATCTTTCAAATTTTAGGTATGTGTTACAAAAAGAGATTTCTGTATTGTAATCTGTGGCAGAATAATTGCCCAGTCTTGGCAACTTCTGGGCCTGTGAGGAACTATAAAAAAACATCACAGAAACAGACCAACTCTGAAGGTATAACTTGTAGTCACCCCCAGACAAACATCTGTATGTTTTTTTTTTTAATTCCAAGTTTAAAATCTATTTGGCACCTTGGCGAATGTAGTTGGCGTGACAAAACTCGATACGGAAATATCCCCCACTGAAAAGTGGAAAATCTCTTTTAATTTGATATAGGAAAGCAATCCTCTTCAGGTGCGTAGCGTTTGTAAAAAGTACTTAAAGGTGCTTTTTTGGGGATTTTGTTTTTAAAGGTGCTTTTTTCAGCTGGCGTTTTTAAAAAGTGCTTTTTTTCCAAATAATTTTTTTTCTTCCTCTCAGTGATATCTGGTGGATCCCAGGCATTTCAAGAAAAATGGGGAGTTTGCTACGTAATCATTCATGCGGACTTCATGTCGTACCCACGTTATGACTTGCACATGCGTGCACACTTGAAACCGAAACCCAAGTGCTCCAATTCGGATAGAGAATGTCAGACCCTTATGAAATGTTTTTCTTTTTAATTTTGTTCTTGTTTATTTTATTTTACTTCTAACACTTTTTTTGACGTAGGGATTAAGTGTACTTTTGTTCTGAGTTCAGGGTCAAGTTGAATTCACTCGGTGATGAGGGAAAGTACTAATTGTTTCTATTTACGCCCGTTTCTTTTTTTAACGCTAAAACTGTTTATAAAAAGTTTTTGTTTTTCAATAATATCATTGATTGAATATGAATTTTTTGAGTGCTTGAAAACTTTTGTAAAGTGCTTGAAAAGTTTTTAAAAAGTGCTTATTTTTTATTCAAAGATTTGGCTACGCACCCTGCTCTAGATTCACAAGCATTCATAAATATGTCCACATTTCAAAGGAAATTCTTGTATCTGACCTAATAATAAAGGAATAAACCTAAAGAAATCCCTCGATTACAGAATGATTTTATAGTATGGTGCATAACCTTTATAACTTGAAGCTTTTTGTTATATGAAATTTTGTGTTATATAGATCATTTCAGTTAATCATTAAACTTTCATGCTAAATTTGGCATTATTAATCTTGAATAGATGAATCTTAAAATGCTTTAGGATAATTATCAGATACAAATACAAAATATGCAATTAAGTATTTATTATTTACAGAGAAACAATTTGAAATTTTCTGTAGCATTAGAACTAATAACAAACAGATTAATCAATTTTGGCTTACTTCACTTTTGAAATTTTAAGTTTTTTCTAAAAGTTATTATTTTGAAAATAATGAATTAAATTGAAGGGGAAAATGTTGTTCTATTATTTCTTGATGAATTTATTCAAACTTAACTGAGAAAGCAAATACATTAAGATTGTTTTAAAAATATATTAACATGTTTTTAAAATATACTGAAGGAATTTAAGGAAAATGATAAAGATAGATTGCTTATCAGTATCTATCAACAATAATAATTATTCCTGGCTAAAAGCAATTTTTTTTTTTTTGCTATGCTTTTAGTACTTTTTCTATTTATTTATTTTATGATCTGAAAGGGTTTTATTTTTTAGTGGGTCATACTTAACTTATGTACCATTTTTCAATATAAATTTTAATTTATGGTATTTTTAAACTATTTTATTTGATTGCAGGATTGTGAAATAGTGTTGTGGAATGTCACAGATCAAGCAGGTTTATTTAGACTGAAGGGCCACAAAGGTCCCATTACCAAATGTATATTTCTTCATCCAAAAAATGTGTTAATATCTAGGTAAGGTATTTTTTTTTAAATGCATTATGTCATTAAATTTATAAAGATTAATTTTAGAATGTATTAAACAATACACTCATTGAATTATAAATAAGCAATGATTAACATAATCTCTTGGTAGAGTCTAACCTTTAAAAATAAAACCTTTATAAATTCAAACTTTTCATGTTGTGCTAAAAATAGGTGTGAAAAATTTTCATGTTTAGATGTAAAATTTTATGTGTTCGAAAAATGATTCATTCATAGTAAATAACTGTTCTGAATAATCATAAGCAATTTTTATTCTAATTCATATTGCTGTTTGTTAATGACATAAATGTATATTTGGAATTTTTTGTTCTATTGAAATTTATATTCATAATTAGTTATGTAGGGTAATTTGCCTTTATATATATGCTAATGTAAGGTAAGTTAACAATATCAATTTTAATTGCATTCAGAATCACTCAGAACCCCCAGAAAATATTTGACACATTTAAAGCCTGGTTTTAGACATTTATTATTTTCTTATTAATTATTTCTCCTGTGGCGAAATCATCGTACTTGATTCTAAAAGTTCATGCTCTGGCGAACTTAAAATATGCAATGGGAGGATTACAATGCATTGCAGGGTATGAGTATGGCTCAACATATATTTATCAGGCACCTGAGCAATCACTAGTTGTTATAGACTCAAACTTGTCTCATTGAACAGTTTCCTGCCCTAAATACTTTTTTCAATGGAGAGAAAAAATCTTTTATTTGAAACTCATGAGAACTTGTGAGAAAGTGAACTTTGGCCAAAGACTTTGTCTTTCCTTTTATGACAAAACTATTTTTGGAAAAGCATTGTTTTTGAGGATTTCATCTAATTTTCCTCTGGTTTTTTACTATTACTTTAGGAAGATCTATTAGTTTATGTGCTCTATGGTTAAAATATACATACTTTCCAATTTTATTAAAGTAAAAATTAAAACTTAACTGTGTGTTAACGAGCTGCAACATTATAATTATTGGATATATATTTTTTTTCCCTCTTATAGTTCATTGGACACTTATATAAAGCTTTGGGACTTGGATACAAAGCATTGTTTTCATACAGTTGTTGGCAATCGAAATGAGGTATGATTTTCTTGCTCATTTTAATAATAGTTTAATTTATTTATTTCGCTGATAATTCTTTTTCTATCATCTTGATTTTTTTTTTCAATTTTTGAACGGCATACATTTTAGTGAAAATAGAAGTAATGATGAATTGGAGAATAAGTTTAAAGAAGGACATTTACACGCCAAAACTGAAGAATTGTTTTGTTCTGATAGGTCAGATTTTGAAGGATCCTAAAATTTAAAAAAATTATTTTAATTTCTATATCTTTTGTATATCATTTGGTTTACTCTTATATTTTTTAATTTTCATATCGATAGCTATTAATTGTATTTATTTATTTTTTTGATTTTTGGACACTATATGTTGTATTTTATTGTCCAACAATCACATTTACATGGGATGGGATTGGTAAACACCTTTATTATGTCAAATCTATTTTAATAACTACAGAACAGAAGCAGCAAAAATAGCACATCCCAGCAAACCACGTAGATTTATGTGTTGTTGATTGAAATTTATTATTTGTTATTTTTATTAAATAAGGATATTTTGATGTTTATCATAAAGACCTATTATCTGAAAAAAATTTATTTTCCGATTCCAGTTATGAGACTTTCCATTGTAGTTAAGTTTAGTATATTTTTACTTTTTAAACGGTTCATCCAACCAAAATATCTTTTTTTTTTTTTAACATGTGAAATTCTTTAATTGTTTGATTTGCAGATCTTGGATTGTGTCATAGTGAAGGAAACAAAACTAATTGTTGGACTGAATGGTATAAATCTTAAAGTTTGGAATATTGCTTCAGACACTAATGTAAGAACCACTTTTTTAAAAATTGTTATAAAGTAAAAAAAAAAAACATTTAATTATATCAATATTGTCTTATTTATATTTGTGAACAGGAAGATGATCCTATATCTGATAGAAAACGATTGAAAATAGACGAACTTGGGATGGATTCAGTTGGCATCAATGATGGATCTAATGAAGATGAATTTGTAAGTAAATATTAATTTTAAAAATGTTTAACAAACACTCCATTAATCTTTTATGCTAAGTTACTTCATCAAATTTTGAATATGCTAAAAATTATTGACATCTGTAAAAATATATTTCACCCATCAATGTTTAATATTTAAATTGCACAGAAAGAAATTAGCTTCCTAACAGCAAAGCACTCAGACCTTCGATATTTTTAGGGTAAATTAGTAATTAAGCTAACTGTATTTAAAATGTCATCTTTTTAAAGTTTAATTTCTTAATTATTTTTAAAGCAATTTTTATTTTAGTTATAGTTTTACTAAATAAAAATCTTGCACTTAATTTTGCAGTCATTTTTTATTGCCGCTTTGTGAAGTTAAATAAATCTTAACTCAAGTGAAGTTTTATGAGTTCGCTTAACTTTGCTTCACAGATATATTTATTCATTGAATACCTATTCAATAATAAAATTTAAGGATTGTTTTAAATTAATTGTTTTGAGGTCTTTAATTTATTGAGGTAAAATAAAGCACTATAAGGAGATTTGTTATTTTATTTAGCTAAGCTATTTAGGTTAGTTGTAGAAAAATTTTTGCATGTCTGCATAGCTCAAAAAAAGTTTTTTTTTTTTTCAAAGAACTTATATTATTTTATGAATTTTTCAGCCTTTAAAATGTATTGAAATTCTTAACAGATTAGTGTTTGTTACATATTTGTGTTTCTATGATTTCAAAATTTTCTGTTTTATGAGTGATTCTCACGAAATATAACAATTTACAGTTTCTTGCTCCAAGATCTAATACTATACTACTAAAAGAACTTTTTTTTTAAATTTTTATAAATAGCATTGGTGTTAGTATTTTAAAATGACCTTGACTGTTTTGTGTGTTTTTTGTTTGAAATGACTGTTTTGTATATTTAAAATTTTTTATTGAATTTCAAAATGTCATTTTCGTGGTATGTCACAAACAACATTTCCAATAATAACTAGATTCAAAACTTCCCATAAATTTTTGAATACCTAATTTTTTTTATCTCAAACGTTGTAAGCATTTCTAGAATACATGCAGAGGGTACTTTGTTGAAACAAGTACCCTCTGCATTTATTTACAAAAACTTGGTTGAAAATACTTTTTTCTGTCAATAATTTGTTTGCCGTAAGAAAATCTGTCATTTTACTGGCTACTTTTATTTAGTGATTTATAACCAAAATAGATATCGCCTCAGCAATCAATATCTTATGTTAATAGATTGATTAGAATACCATCTATCTTAACATGTCTTATTGCATGAATAAAGAACCAACTTTCTGGTTCAAAACCTATTTCAAAAATTTTTCTATGTGAGTAGGTTTTTATGTTGTAATTTTCCTGTTTTCTTGAAATCATTAACATAAACTACATAGATTTACCTGAGTTATTTCAAGAAATCCTGTTGTTTTTTGCGGAATATAAACATCTTAGTCGAAATGTTAAATTAAAGTAAAGTTAAATGCTATATAATGGCAAATTGTCATTATCCTGGCTGTCATTTTCCTGGCTTATGAATGCCAGGACATTGAAGCAGTTACCAGAAATTTTTTTAAACTGTTGAATGTAAAGAGAGAAAGCAAATATTAACCTAATACCAAGTTTATGTAAGATAGTAATATGCTTGAATGTAATCAGTTATTTTTTTTATTTAATGATTGATTATTATTCACAATTTTATTCTGTATATATCAGCAATAAAAACATTTTTGATTCTTTCTGCAGTGGATAAAAGAATTAATTTAAGCAATTCATGGTCCATCTACCGCAATGGCTTAAGTTGAGTTACTTACTATTAGCTTAAAATGACTGTTTGTTTTTTTTTACTTCTAGGCTAATGNTTCTACCATTGGAGATTAAAGGTAACTAAATAAATGTACAAAATAAAATTTAGATTATTTTGAAGACTTTAAATTTGAATAAATTTTTTGTTCCGAATTGTCATGTTTCCAAAGAATCACCCTTATATCTCACCTATATCTTAACACAAATAATTGCTTATTTTTTCCGTCATTATGTTAGTTTTTTATATATTCAATTTTTATTGTTTTCTTATTTAATTTTTTAACAGGAGAATTGTAATGTGACAGAAGCAGGTACAATTACAACTTCAGAGAGTAAAACAACATCAATAGTTTTAGATCCATCCGAAAGACTCTTAGGTGTTCATGTAAGTGTTAAATTTGTATATTTGTTTTCTTGATTTTTTTATTTTCTGGTCTTTATTTTATGAGGTAGATTGTACTGAAAAAGGGAACTTCACTACAAGTGAGAATTGATCTGATTAATTTTAAATATATCTTTAGCTTTGCTGTCTGAGCAAAATAAATTGTCTATTTTTCAATATTATTCAAGTGATATTTTTTACATATTCATTGTATAATGCATGTCTTGTCAATTTCTTTAATTTTTAAATTTAATTTTCAGGGCTCGACAAAAATTGTGCAGCTGTACAAAATTCTTACTCAAGTTGAGATGAATAAGAAACTCCGCAAGCGGAAAGCTAAAGAAATGAAAAGAAAAAAGTAATTTTATTTTACTTATGACTCTGTGTATTTTAGTTTTACAGTAATGTAGTTTAAATTCTGTTAGCATTCTTGAAATATTTAAGTGAAATTAAACTGTAAGCATAATAAAGTAATTCTTTCTTGTATTTATCTAAATTTATCTATGCTCATTAAAAAATTTGCCTTTTTTGTTTTGTTTATATATATTTTATATCAGTCGTTTACAACTGATATTAAATATAATTAACATTCTAGGGGCTTTTTTTTCTTCTTTTTTTTTTACGAAAGCTTCTCGTGCAAAAAGTGATAAATTTATTTAACCCTGAAATGCGAGTTTCAATTAAGTTAAATTAAAAATCTTTGTCATATTTTATTGCTAAAAATACCAAAATTCTTTCCTCGGACATACAATAAATAATGAAATTATGGTATCAATAATTTTTAATAATTTTGTTTGGAGTGGACAAAAATGCTGTAAGTAATGAAATGTCACTATATTTGAGGCATGAAAATTCCTGCGAAAACTAAAGTTTAATTATATTTTGTTAAATCAATGAATGCAATCTGAATCTTAAATGTGATTTCTTTAATAAATTATCTGATATTTTTGTTTGTTCACCTTTCTTTATTTCTTAAAGTACACAATGATTTTTACAACAATTCAAAGTCATCAACTTCTTGTTCCTTATGTCCTTGGAAGAAAATTGTCAGTATCTGCAGTATAACTGCTGTGTTATTAAGTAATATTGGTGGATCTGATGATTCACAGTCTTCTTCAACTCTGCTAGATTTTGTAATTTTATCTTTTAAAATTGGTTCTAATTCACAAGTCATCAGATTGTTATCACTTTGTGAATTCTCCATAAAGTCTGTACCAGACTAAGCATTCTGTTTCGAGATGCTATCTGTTTTATCATTTGGGCAGAAACTGATTTAAAACTACTGTACTGGAAGAAAAAATGCATTTCTCTTTTTTTTTCTTCGCATACCTTCACAAAACAAAGTAAACATAACCCCAGACCCCTATTCAGAGTATGGGATAATTTTCCTCAATTCTATAGCAGCCAGCGTGTGCGTTTGTTGTCTGGTTTCTATTATGTGTGTGTAGTTTCTTGACACTACGAGAAAATTATCAGTTAATAGTTGGGCGAAAGATGATTCGGAATATTCGGGAAACGGTATTTGAGGACCCTCTAAAGCCTAGAAATTTTTTACATTATTTATTTAAGAAATGAAAGCGGACCAAGCTGAAGAAATTAAAAGCGATGAATCATTATTTAAGGTAGTCTGAGTTCTACTATATTACATTTTGAAATTTTGTCAACCCTTTTCAAAATTCCCTAAAATGTTTTTATATAAAAAATTAACGTAGCATATTATTAAATATTAAGGGCATGTTAAGTTTATATTCATTTATGATCTTTCCCTTCTGCTAAATGTTATGTCTGGCTACACATATCTATATTTGCCAAAGCGAAGAATTATTTTTTTAGTGTTGTAATTCCAGTTATAGAATTATATAATGATAAGTATCATAGTTATATAATGATAAGTATCATAGAGAAATTTATTTTTACAATGACTAAATAAATATTTTTCAAATAATATGTTTACTACTTTATTTGTCTTATATTTTTAATAAATATATGTTTGAAATAATAAAATAATGTTTGAGTGTTGTTCATAATAAAATCTCTTTTGAAAAATCTCATTTGGATTAAAAATCATTTCTGATTATGTTTTGTAAATGTTTTTTTCCTTCAAAATTTTCTTTTCATTCTCTGATTGATTTTTATTCATTATAGGAATGAAGGCGATGATGGTGATTTGTCTGTGTCCATTTCAATTGAAGATGAGTTTTCCTCCCTCGGTTCTTTTCAACTTTTGGGAAAAGTTGACTCATTTGCGATGTCTGTAAATAATCAGGATTTGGCTAAAGTATGTGTCCCTTCTTTTCATATTATAACATAATAGGATATGAATATTATATTTTCTAGCTTTTTCTTTTTATTTAATTCTTAAATTTATTTTGAATCATCTCTCAATAAAATCTATTTCTCAATAAAAAATTAAATGTTAGCCTTTTCTATGTATACACTGTTGAATGATATTGGTAGTCTTCCTTTAATGCAGTGGTTCTTAAACTTATGACTTTTGCGTACCCTTTCTAAATTTTTCGTAACGCTGTGTACCACTAATAAAAAATGAATGTATTTTTTTACTATAAAAAATTTTACAAAAGTTTAAAATCACAACTTGCTGTTGACACCACTAATTATTAACTGTTAATTCTGCAAAAAAAAAAATACCAATAAAAAAATATAAGTAATTGTAAATTTTCATGGCTACCTTTGTTTTTAGATATAAATTTTTGAAATTTTCGTTTGTCGTAAGATATTTTGCATAAGAACGCATACCCCCGCTAAACCGTTTCTGTACCCCTGATGGTTCGCGTACCACGCTTTGGGAAACATTGCTTTAATGGATTATCCATTCGCATATAAATTCTACCATTGGAGATTAAAGGTTTGCCATAAATTCTGTATAAGTCCATTATAATGAAAATTCTTAATAACAGATGAAACTGTTTTAGAGAGCTTGTCATTATTATACAGAGCATGAAAACTTCTTACATTCCCTGCCATGCATGTTTGCTTACAAAATACATCTTAATAAAGTATTTATAGAGTGGAAGAAATATGGTTCATAACAAAATTTTAATTTCAATATAAATATAAACTGTATGTTTTGATTTAACCTATTTAGCTATTTGTATAAAGAAAACTTATTACTGAATAATCGTTCTACCTTTCCTAGGATACAAGATAAAAGAGCCTTGCGCATCTTTTCTTTTAAAACATAAAGGGTTACGGTTGTAAGAATGAAATAATGTAACATGTTTTTCATTTTTCTATATTGATAGCAGAAATATATAAAAAAGAAATTCTATTTTGTCCTTTTTCGTTGAATGCTGCTTACTTTAATATTAGGGAAATTTATTATCCTTAAATTTTACAGAAGACTAGCAGTTTTCAACTCATTATAAATATTACATTTTTGTAACTTTGATATTAGCATTTTATCAGTGACTCTGAAACCTGTCATAAAAGCAATAAGCCATATTCATTAAATTGAGCTTTTAATGTAATGTTAAGTGTTATGTGACTACACAATTTAGAATCATCTGACCTAACATCATTTGATTGGTTCATTTTTTCTTTCTTCCTGATATATAGCCAAATATTTTTTGTGAGAATAGCAACTTGAGCTAAGGCTATAAGGGAAAATAGTTTTTGCCATTTCTCTTTAGTACTCTGCTAAAAACTAAAACTTCTGAAACTTAAATAATTACATGCTTAGAAAATATTGATCTTGGTTACTGAGCAGATGTTGCCTTATGTGTGACTTTAACAAGATCTCATAAAATTCCATTTTAATTTCTACTATCAAATAAGAACTGGAATTTTTGCTCATTTTAAAATGTTGAATTTAATAGAAAACTTCACAAAAGTAATTTCTGTTATAACAACACGTTCTGAAGCATAGTTGTATCATATAGCATTTCTTCAAACTTTGTTATTTTATGTTTCTTCATACATGATTGATTATAGAATTGATAAATACACATTATTGCATCAAGTCAATAATGTACTGATTATGTTCACAAGAATTTGCCCGTTTTACTATCAATTGAAATATAAATATCCTATTTCAGCTCATTTGAATTTATGAAAAAAAATTTAAACGAACAACATCTGTAAATAAGCAGTAAAAATTAATAGCATATCTAAATTTTATTTTAATTGTACAATTTTTATTTTCTTCCTAAATTAATCTTAAACAATTGAACTAATGATTATAAGTTGTATGGCTGACTTCTTAACATAAATAACTGGTTTAAACCATCCAAAATTATCAAACAACATAGAAGAGTGGCAGAAAATGAAAAAAAAAATCATAAAAACGTGTTGTTGTTTTTTGCCATTTAACCGACTGTGCAATTCAATTTTTATTCATTTTTCAAAAGATTAAAATTTTTCTTAATGTACCGCTAATTTTTTTGAATTGGATGCATTAATTTTTTATTGTAAGTTCATCAATAAATATGAAACTAATTATGGATGAAGCATTTATAAATTGAATAAAGGAAAAGGTTTTGAGACTGGTACTAGTTTCAAATTTGATAGAAGATAACAGTTTTGTATGAACGATATAAATGAAGTAAAAAAATTATGTATAAAATGCTAACCAACTCATTTTTTGAAGAAAATCTAATATGAATTGCATATTCCTGTTTTTGTTATATTATTATTTAGAGATATTGTTCAGACAACTTACAAATTAAAGAAAATTCTCAATTTACTTGCTTTTTCATTGCATCAGCACTTTTAGTCTTATCTGGCTCTTAAAATCAATATTAAATCCATATTGGTTTCTGTTACCAAATTTTTTTATTAAAAATATTTTAATTTTGAGTCATTGAAGCAAGTATAAATTAGCACAACCTGCACTGGATTTATCATCACCAGATAATCAACAAATTATACTTAGCTTTTTGTTGTTTGTTCTATTTATCAACCTTTTTTTTTTTTAAATTTATCATTAAAGTGTATTATGTTAATTATAATTTTTCCTTCAATGTATTTTCATTTATGTATTATCATATCGTATATTAAAAACTTCCTTTATGTTTTATAAAAGGTCTTGTATATTTTTATATTTTCTTTCAGATTACTGTGTTATTTAAGAACAACAGCATAGCTCAGTATAATTTTGATTTGAAACATAAACATTCTAAGTTGGAACTAAGTCGTAGTATATTGACTCCAGGACATCGTTCAGCTATAAAAGCTTTAAGCTGTAGTTCAGACAGTTTAACTATTTTATCCGCAAGCGATGAATCAATAAAAGTCTGGAACAGGTAAGAATCCTTTATTATGTTATCATGGTTTAGATCTTATTCTTTTTCGATTGTTCTTTAGGCCCCTATTTTTTTCTTAAGACAGATTTCTGTGTTATATTAAAAGAGAAAATTTTGCGTCTTAGCACAGTTGTAAAAGATTTAACAAAAACTTCTAGTATTCATTTAAGTTTTAATTCTGTAAAAATATGAAGCAATGTCAGATTTTTGTTGATTTGATTTAAAAATAAGGTTTGAAAGTTAAATTGCAGAAATTAGCACATTTATTTAGAGTAGTGTCCTTAAACTGTACACAGTAATTAAGGTATGTTCTCTATTATACTTGATATTTTATTTCTACTTTTGCGAGGGTACATTGAGGTGTCATTCACTAATTTACAATATTTTTTAGATGCGCCTTATATGAAAAATTATTGTTTCCAAATTTTCAATTAATCTCTTTGAAGAGTTTATTTAAAATTTGATCCATAGATTTTGATCCACTTAGTTATTCATATCACAGAATTTCTAAAATTGTTAACGGATTACTCTCCTTTATATAGGGTTTTAATAATGTTTGATTGCATTCATAATTATCAAACATTTTTTTTTAAATAATTAAGGATATTCATTTCTGATAATAAAAAAAGGTATTTTTACCCAATTACAACTTCTAACAGAATGTTAAGTTTTCAGATTAACTCTTTGTTTGAATTGCATTTATTTAACAATTATTTGTATTATGAAATTTGATACAGAGGAAAGAAATTACTAATTTCTATTTGTAACCTTGTTTTATTTTGGTTTTCTCTTTTCATGAATATCTCTTTATTTAAAATGTAATTAACAATCTAATAATCTTAAAATTTCTATTGATAGATAGTTCTCCAGATAATTTTTTTACAATGTTTGACTGCATTTAAAATAATTAAAATATTTTTAGTTAAGAGCATTATGTTCTGAAAAATATTAAATTTGAGTAATTTTTTAAACAGAATATAAATTTCTCAGATTCGCTCTTGGCAAACGTAAGAAATAATAATTTTTAGCTATTCAATGTATTCTAAAATTTAAACAAACTAAAAAAACGTGATTCTTTAATCCTTTGCATTCTACTTTTATCAGTTTAGTTTAATAAATTATAAAGAGCATTATTAATATTTTTAACTACAGGCGCTTACATTAAACAAATTTGTAAAAAATGTACAGTTTTGTGATTTTTGAAGAGTGGCATCAGTTGCTAGCAAAAGTGTGATATATCCAAGGTGTGGGTGAGTTTGCGACAGTGTGTGTGTATCTAAGGCTAACCTTTAATTAGATGCCCCTGAAAAAAGTAGTGTAATGACTTGAATGGATGAAAAAGAAGGAAAGAAAGAGAAAGACAAAAAGAAGAAATAGTGGATACATAAAAATTCAAATTCCATATTCAAACTTATTTTTATGTATACTGAAAATCTTTTCATCAAATATTTCAAACACATGTTCTTTTCAAGAAAATTTTCACAAATATGAAGAATATTATAATTTAAATGACCTAAAACTTCATTTTAAAATTTGTGTAAAAAATCATAATTTCACAATATATTCAACTCAAGCCAAGTATTTGTCTGACAAAAATTTAATTTTTTGATGAAAATTACTGCAATAAATTCTTATACATAAATATTATGTGCATATTCCTTTTTACTCCAAATTGAAGTAAAGGGCTTCTATCATAGTTTTCCCTCTTACTCTATTTGTGCCTAAATATTTTGTCTCTCTCCATGTCTTTCCTATTGTTTTCAATTTGTTTATTTTCGTCCTGTCCCAAGTATTTTTAGATCTTTTTCTATTTCTCTGAGAGTTCCAATCAGTAACTTATTTTACTTTAAATTTTTCAGGTTTGTGTTGAACATTACCAATCTATTTCTATTTACGTTTTTTTTTTTAAAAAAACTATTGATTTAAAAGCGTATGATTCTTAATACTTTTAAACGTAACGATTCTTAATGGTCGAATGTATGAGTCAATAGTCTTAAGTCATTTCACCCTCACTCCCCGCCTTTGAGTGGTGCCCTTAATTAATTAGATTCAAAGATAAAAATTTTGGTAAATAATTTTAAAAAATTTAATAAGCATTTCAGGTATATGATAAAAGCTGTTATCAATAATGCCTTTCTGAATTAAATTGTCATTCTTCTTTAATGCAGTTTGTGATAGAAGTTATAAGTTATATATATGTTTGATTTAATAGTTAGTAATGCATACATTTTTCTCTTTCTCCTTTATAGTTTAAATGAAGAGCAAGCATGTTCAAATACTTTGAATTGTAACTCTGCTCTTTGCTCTGTTTTTGTGCCTGGAAACAATCATTGCATAATTGGTACAAAGGTATACAAAAAATTTCTTTACAAAATAAACCTATTAAATTGTATTTTTTTTCATTGAATATTTTTAAATAACGTGTATTAGTTTCTGTTTAAGTTTGGACTGAAAGCTTAAAGTGTTTTAAAAATTTTGTATTAATTTATAATTTTGTGATTTGTAGATCTTACTCTGGACTGTGGTATCAACAATTATATTCTGAATTGTATAACTAAAAATATACGGAAATCTTTTAAATAGTTTTGTTTAGTTATGTCAGAGTATTGTTTTTCCTTATAAAGTCTAAATCATAATTATTACTCTAATAAATATTTTTCCATAAAAAGCATAGTAAATTCTTGTTATAAGACAAATATTAAATTGAAATGTTTTTTTTAAATTCTGTAAAAAAAATAATCTTAGTTCCACTTAGTGATGAGGAAATTTTTAAAATATTATATGATAAATAATAGAATTAAAATTGTATGTCTGTCAAGTTTTTTTTTATTACCTAGATTGAAAATGTAAATAAATGTTTTATCATTATTAATTATCAGCTACTCCATATATTTACAACTTTATTGGTAGAGTAAATGTTGGTATATAGCTTCCAGCTTATGCAAATAACTTTCTTCATTTGCAAGATCTTAAATTTTTTATTTTAGTTGCATGTTTTAATTGAATAGGCTGTAATTTATTCCTTTTATTTTTACTGAAATATATTCATTTTAAAATAATTATGCTTTATTTATTTGAAAAATTATTTTTTTCATAGAAAGGGAAATTAGAAATATATGATATATATGCTGGCGATTTACTGGAAAGATTAGATGCTCATGATGGCTCTGCTCAATGTGCTGTATTAACTCCTGATGAGGTATTAATCGAAAGTTTCTAATTTATTTATTTGGCAAATTTTTTATGTACTTTTGTTATCTATTCTTTTTAAGTGAGTAATTCGAGAAATGTATGTTTTTATTTAGATTTATATTTAAAATTTTAGAAATAAGATTTTTTTAAATGTTGTAACTGATAGTTTATTCGTAGCAACAAATGGCGATACCTCTATCCACATAAACAATAACAATAGTCTTCGTTCTGACTTACTAAGTGAGATTAGCCACCCGAACCTACCCTGGTTCCTTTTTCCCCAATCAGTTTGGGAAAAACTTTAAAATACTTACTACTGTTTGTCTGAGATAGGTGCTCTGACCGCCACTAAGTCTGCGGCTGTCTGGTGCTATGGAAACAAGAAGAGGGTAGCTTCGATGAAGAGGTCTCTTTTTCTCTCGCCGAAACCAGTCCTAAAGATGGACCCCGCACCCCTACTTAAAATAATCATACCTCGTTGCCATAGTCACCGCCACAGCTCCAGACGAATGTCTGGCAGAGTACCTATCTTAGACAAACAGTATTTTAGTCAATGTTATGTTGTTACTCATTATTGTTAAATGGGTGTGTGAATGTGTAATTAAAATACTGAGCTCTTCATGATGGTGTTTCCTTCCATCCTCTTGTGTCCTTGCAATGTTAATTTTTTCTTCTTTTTGAATTTTGATTATATTAAAATTAAAAATATCTGAGTTTACATTTAGGCTGTATCACCGAGCTTTTTTATTTATCCTAGGGTGGGATTACAAGTGGTGGTAGTGACAAAGAAGTCAAGTTTTGGGATTTTGAACTTATAACAGATAGTGAATATTCTGAAGTTAAGTATGTAAAGTTTTTATGATTGCCTCTTTGATTTTGCTGATGCATTTATTTTTATTTATCATTTACTTTATTCCTAATGTAGGAAAAGATTGTCTCTTAATCTGAGAAGGACTTTAAAAATGCCAGACGAAATTTTATGTATTCGATACAGGTATGTCATCTGCAGCTATTATAGTTGTTGTATTTATGCTAGTAAAAGGCCTACTTATGGCATATATAGAAATAAGTATATACACAGAGTGTCCCAATTATCCGAGTTAATGCAGATCTTGAGAAACTCGATTAAAGCAAATCTATAAATGAAATAAATAATCGAGTTTAGCTATATTTTAAATATTATGCATATACTCCAGATCCAATTCATATCATTATTACAAAGTTCCTACTTAAAAATGTCCTTAATTGATATGTGTTTTATGTTACTTATGTGTTTTTCTGGCTGCAAAGTTTTGCCATTTTCTTTGGGCTGACAGGATGGCTGGTATCGCTTCTT